ACCTTTTTTAATAAATTGAATAAATTGAAATGGTTGAGTTAATAAGATATGCTCCTAAATGATCTAGTTCTGTGTTGGAATGCCAATGTGAAATCATGACTGTTTTCCTCTGTGCCACATGGTTATTTTGGAGGCTTGAATGACTTCCAACACTTGTCATTAAATTTCTGAAAGATTCAAGAATAAACTTTTTTAACAATCCAAATAAATCACTAGCAATGTATTTTAGTCTTCACTCATAGAGTGCACACCAAATATCTATGAAAAACTTTGTTAGGAATAGTCCCCTTCACATTTCCCTGCACCATCTTGAAAGGTAGACGTGCCTTTGCATCGAATCTAGACGAACGGTGAGCTTGTAATGATAGAGACCTATTTTTAACACCTTGGACAATTATCCGCATGTCTCTATCATTGCAAGCTCACCATTCGTCTCGCTTCGATGCAAAGGCACAGCTACCTTTCATAATGGCATTGGGAACTGTGAAGGGGACTATTGCACCAATTTGCACAAATTAGTAAGTTCAGTAGACCACAGTAGACTGTAGACCTACAAAACTTTGCACTAATATAATTTGTTAGCAAACAAATTTTGCTAGTAAACGCTTTTCACTGATATAGTATATGGTATGCACTCTATTCTTTAAATCAATTTACTTCTCCAAAGTTCAAAGACAGGCTACTGCCTCGTGGCATACATAATAATATTGTTAAATATTACCTTTAAACTACCAGGTTTGAGAACTTCCTCTACACTCAACTCAGAATGCATTAAACGCAGCTGAAAGAAAAAAAATACACATGTTCTACATCGTATTTAAAGGAAATGGCTCTTACCTAGTTAGCCCTATCCTGCATAGCGGCTCTCTGGCATGGGGGTTGGGGGAGGGTACCATTCGGCACTGAGTTTGGAGAGGGTGACTGGGGAGAGGCCCACGGAGGCTAAGCAAGCCAAAGCAATGGAGAGGGTAGATGTCTTTCAATGGTGATGAGGCATGGCCTGACCTGGCAACTCAATTTATACCTGTCTGCTCATAAGGGGAGGTGTGATTAAAATTGTTGGGGTGGGCTAGAGTCAAAAGTTGTTTTGCATCGTATCAGGAATGTGGGTTACCCTGGGGGAGGAGTGATTAGGTGTTTACTTAATGGGGGTGGGGTAGAGTCAAAAGTTGTCTTGCATCATTTAAAACCCCTTGCATGTGACATCAAAGCAGCTCAATTTGGAGGACAAAATGAGAGAATTTCAATCTCCTGAGAATAGGAAACATATTGTTTTGCCCTACAAATGGAGCTGCATTCGGACAAGCTGCAAGGCATCTAACCGAAGTGTGATGTGTCATACATGTCAGCTCTTCCATGAGCTAAGTCATAACTGTCCTTTACTTAATGTGGATTGAGTAGGGTCAAAATTTGTCTTGCATCATACCAGAAGGGTGGGGTGATTCATATGACCCTTATTTCTTGACGAGTAACACATAGCTGTCTTCCTATCGTGGGAGGGCATATGATAGGATCAATCATGATCTAGTATCATTCTTCGGCAGTAAGGTAACCCAAAAGAATATTTTCTATAGCTAAATTTTAGGATTATTATTTCAGAGTATTGTTGCTCACCTTGGTTTGTTCACTTCTTAGTCGTTTTGATAAGTCAAAATCATCTGGGTTTGCTTCCCGTTGTTCTTTGATACTTTTGATATTATTAGACACCTCATGTATACATCGCTTGATGGCATTTTCTCTTGATTTAAAACCATCTAACAGCTGATTAAAGAAAAAAGACCCATTTTCATTGATTTATACACATTAGCTAAGAGCTTCCAAATATTTTCTCTGTCTATTTGTCAATCAGTAAGTTGGCCAGTCAGTCAGTCGGTTGGTTCATTGATTGGTCAGTTGGTTGGTAAGTTGCTTGGTTTATTGGTTGGTTTGGTTGGTTGGATAAATGGATGGCTGGATCATTATATGGTTGGATGGTTGGTTATATGGTTGGTCAGTCCTTAGTTCGATCAGTTGGTTGGTTGGTCCATTGGTGGGTCTATAGGTTGGTTGTATGGTTGGTCTGTCCGTCAGTCGGTTGGTCCATCTGTCGGTTGGTCGTATGGTTTGTTGGTTGGTTGGTTCATTGGACAGTCGGTCCACTATCCAGCCAGTTTGCCAATCTTGTAAGAAATAAGTAATAAGCAAGTACTTATTTACAAATATACAAATAAAAATGTCTTTACCTCTGTGTACAGTTCTCTACATTTCGCTTCACCATTTATCTCCCCAGCAAAGCTTTCTGTAGGCACACTAGTATTTAACTTGTACATGATTTTGTCATCTAATAGCCTTAGAACTTTTAAAGCTTCCTAAAAAAATAAAATTGTGTCAACCAACATGGCATCCACTGTCTGAAAACCCTTGCAAATTTACAATGTGCATTTTAAAATTTTCATGGAAAAAATCTCACACTTTTACTTATAGTAAACTTATTAATTCCTAAAGTTACAATTGCATTCAAACATTTCTTTATTTTCAACACATTATTGATCAGGGAGATAAGTGTGTAACATGACCCTCTTGCCTCAATTTTATGTCTAGCAACCAATTTCAACAAAATCTAAAACAAGGACTCAGTGTCATAAACAATTTAGTAGAGCTATTAAAGCAAGCAAGATTCAGGTCTACAATGATATGTGTTATAAACCAGCCCTCTTACGTTATGCACCTATCAATATTAATCCCTTGGGGGAATTGACATTATTCAATATGCTATACCCCACCCCACAGTAGGAAATTTCATTTGACATGGCTGCCATCTTGAAGAAGCCAGAAAATTTAAATAAACATTTGTACTAAGGGTGGAAATTTGACTTTCATAGCTTGTCCAGGGTTAGGGAATTTGAAAATTTCAAATTCCAAATGTCAAATCTCCCTGGGGTCGCTCCCTTGCCCCGGGCCCTTGCCCCACCACCCTGGAGCTCAAGGTAGGTGCATTAATCAGGAATTACAGGTTCATATTCCAGTCAGCCCTTAATGATCTATATCTGCACCTGCTCTTACATGCAGTTTCTATTATTAGCTAATCCATGTAAAGCGTCTCTATATAATCAAGGAAATTAGATTACATAATTTTATAGATTGCTCAAACTCCCGTCATATTCAGAAAAAAGAATCCAAGCAATTTAAAATTTGCAAATCCTGATCTGTTAAGAACTAGGTAATAAAGCATGACAGCGTTTGAAAATAAGAGAAATGTTTAATTTACCTTAAATTCTGAAAAATCTGCGCAAGACATTTGAGTTATCTCTTTCTTCTCTTCGTCCGCCATTTTGAAACATGTGCTTAGCTTGTGAGAAAACCGCTGGATACAAAAAATAAAATAAAATAAAATTGTATTGTATTGTATTGTATTGTATTGTACAGTTCTGTTATGACTCAAGGCTCAAAACAAAAAGAAAAATTAATAAATGGAAAACTAATTTAAAAGATCTTAAAGGAATGTTCTCCTCATTTTTTCCGTGTTTTGATTATATTTTTATTCATTTATCTATTATTTTGGACGTTCGCAAAGGTTTCTGGGAATAATGACCCCCGCAAAGGATTGTGGGACCACATGGTGAAGAAGAAGAAGAAGACGACGCTGAGTTGAAGAAGGAGAATTTAACAAAGTCTTGTCTTTTTGCTCGTTTTATTACCTTTATTAGAAGACTTGAACCAAAGAAAACCAGCTAGAATCCAAGCTAAGATGCCAGAAAACCAACGGAGATCACATTCTCCTCGACGGTCATCTTCCAGTGGCACAAAAACCAAAAGAGAAAAGTCATCAAATGAGAGCAGCTCAAACACAAAAGATGGCGCCTCAAACAGAAATCGCGACTCCAATAGTTTTAAAGACAATTATAGACAAGAAAGGAACAGAACTGTCTCTTATAGCTCAGGTTTAAAGAAGGAAAGAAAGTTTACAGGTCGTTGCCGGCTTTTTGTTGGTAATTTAGTTGACTGCGATGAGCAAGAGATGAAAGAAATGTTCTCCAAGTACGGCGAGGTTGCCGAAGTCTTCGTGAACAAAGAAAAAGGTTTCGGTTTTATTCGCTTGGTAAGTCGATATTTTAAAATAAAAAGACCCAAAAAAGTCGTAATATCAATCACTTTTACGTTTTTCATCATTGAATTTCTGTTTTTATTCCTGAAAATGGCAAAAAAAAAAAACCCGAAGATGAATCGTGCAGGAAGATTCACAAAATTCATGAATGTCCTTCACAGCTGAAAGATTATATGAACTACGTTCCATTAAAATTCTTGGCTCGCTTGATTTCCTGTGCCATTTTTTTTTTTAGCGAAACCAGAATTTGTCCTAAAAAATCGTTTGTATTAAAGAAATTTGTGAATCTTTACGAATCGCACTGATCGCCTTATTAAAGATTGTAAATTTTTTTTTTCACTTACGAAACTATAAAAAAAAACCTGGAGATTTCTGTTATATAATAAACACACAAGTTGGAGTATTGAAAAGTACAAAAACTGGATAAGATGGGGCTTTGTAAAAAATCCCCCCCTACCCCCCTCATTACTTTGCAAGATAAGGATCTATGCTGCTAAGAAACACTTGTAGAATCGATATCAAATTTGTTTGGATTCAGAAAGAAAGAATAGGAAGCAAAAAAAGTAATTTTTCAGAATCCCTGTGTGGAGGGGATTAGACATCTAAGGGGTGGGGCAGATGGATAATCAAAATTCATGTGCATTGATGTCTATTGTACTGTTCTCAAAATCATCTTTAATGTGAGGTTAACATGGTAATACAAAAGAAAAGTGAGATTTCCTTTGGGAAGCTTTTATAAATTCTATAGGAATATATCTAATATTTATACATCTATTTTTTACTTTGACTAAAGTCTGACATCCAAAATATCAACATAGGTTTTAATTAACTAGTTATTCATCATATATTTAGTATGTAGTCATTGTAGGCTTAGGAAATAATATTCATAACCTATTCTAAACAAAATTAAAAGCCTGGAGTGTGGTAATGCTGATATTTAAAAAAATGAATTTAAATTAGACTAAAGCTTTCAATGGATTGATAAAGTATTGTCTTGTAGGACACAAGGCTGAATGCCGAGGCTGCAAAAGCTGGCATGGATATGACTCAACGCAAGGGCCGAACAGTGCGCGTACGTTTTGCTACCCATGCTGCTGCCATACAGGTCCATGAATTTGGGTCCTATGTAACGAATGAGGTTCTGGAACAAGCGTTTTCTCAGTTTGGTGATGTAGAAAGAGCTGTAGTTGTTTGTGACGACAGAGGGAGGTCTAAGAATTATGGGATTGTAGAGTTTGCAAGAAAAAGCAGTGCTAACAATGCTATGCATAAGGTTAAAGACAACCTATTTCTTTTGGGAAGGTAAGTAAATTGAAAACATGGATTAACTCTCTTGGGTTTCCTTTCCTGCCATGGTCTTTCATCTTCAACAAACTCTACTCACTTGTAATGCCAAGTACAGGAATCAAACCTGAGGCCCAGAAGTGAAAGGTAAATGAACTACTAAACAAACCTGGCTGGGTCTTTCCCACAAATTATCAAAAGAATACAGACGTGAAGAAAGGAATGCAGACTAAAAGGTTGAAGTCTAACTGTTTGATATTCAAATAATTTTTCAAACTTTGTAGGACACCAAAACCAATCACTGTCAAAGCCTACGAACAAGAAGATGAAGAAGATGGCCTTCCCGAGAAGAATTTGGAGAGACAACCTGGCTATCAAAAGTAATGCATAAGTCCTTCATTCTATAAACTTTTTTAAACCATAATTTTCCATTTCAGAGTTTGTTATTCTCTTGAATATGAGGGTTTTTTGATTTTCTTTGATCCATACTAAACTTTTAAATAAATGAAAAATACTCTAGGAAAAGACACATGGTCTGAAATGAGAAAAAAATACATTCCCACATCTAGCTACCTAGTTAAAATCTTATGTGGAGCTCAGACTTTTCGCAAAGAAAAATGAGCGTCATAAAATATAATTCACATCTTCAAGTTTTCTAAATAAATGGTAAGACGTAAAACTAAAAAATGTATATTTTTAGGGAAAGAGAGGTTCCTCCACATTTTGCCACACCAGGAACCTTTGAATATGAATGGGCTCAGCGATGGAAGTCTCTAGAGGAAATGGAGCAATCCCAGAGAGAAACACTTGATAAGCAGTTTAAAGAGGCTCGTGAAAAACTGGAGAATGAAATGCAGCAGGCCATCAAAGATCATGAAGCTATGTTAATGAGACAAGGTAGGTTGCATGCTCAGTCTTCACAATAACAACTCAATACAGATATTTCCAGTGAAGTTTATTTGAATATAGTGTTAGCTCTACCTTGATTCAAAGGATTTTCTCTGGTTTCCCTCCCTCTAAAAGAGGTACTAAGTTCCAATTTGATCTGTGAGAGCCATGCCATGACTTTGATTAGTCAGTCCAGTGGTGGTTTCAGGGTTCAATCTATACCCTGATTTAGTTCAATGCAAAAGTTGTTTTAGGATTTTATAAGTTTAGGATTTTTAGGTTGTTTCAGGGCTTGATCTGTGAGTTAGCAATGCCCTGACTTAGATCAGCCCAGAGGTTGTTTCAGGGTTTGATCTGTGAGTTAGCCATGCTCTGACTTAGATCAGCCCAGAGTTTGTTTCAGAGTTTGATCTGTGAGTTAGCCATGCCCTGACTTAGATCAGCCCAGAGGTTATTTCAGGCTTCTATCTGTCAAGTGTGGCATACTTTGACTTTGATCTACCTAGAGGTTGTTTCAGGGCTCCATAAAAAAACATTTTTCTGATGCAGGAAATAATTTCTAGTAAAAACGAGGGATTTTTAAGCAGCAATTCAAACAGTATGGTTTTGTTTTATAGCTGACATGCAAAGACGACAAGAAGAGATGCGAAGGCATGAAGAAATGCAACACAGAGAAGAGATGAGAAGACAAGAAATGATGCAAAAAGAGGTGGAAATGATGAGGTAAATCTTACAACACTTTTTATCATAAATATTGAGATTAGGAGAAATTTGTGAATTAATTTATGCATTTTTTTGGTGTCCATCACAAATAAATCTTGCTAGTTCTTAGAGGGTAGAAATTGTTCATAGCCAGTGGCTGAAAAAAAGTTGTGGTCATAATATTCTGTGATTAAATTTGGATGATTATTGGTGATTATAATGGCAATTGTACACCCCACTATAACATGGCCTTTTACAACAGACTTTTTGGACCAGTCATTCTTTTGATTCATCGACTTCTTCACTAGATGCAAAGAGGAAGAACTGACAAGAAAAGAGCCTATTTTGGCTGGACATTGTCTGTTCACCAGTCTTTTTTTAAGCCCTTCACGCACTTATGCTTCCTGTATGAGTAATACATGTATTGTCTCCTCCACTAGACGCAGAGAGGAAGAAAGAAGGTATCAGGAAGAATTGAGAATGCAGGAAGAAGCTCGACACAGGGAAGAAATGATGTACAGACAAAGACAAGATGATTTTATGCGACGACAGGAAGAAATGATGAGAAATGTATGTGGACTCTAATCAGCTGACTAAAACCGCTAAGATCCATATGGAAATATACTTTTTAGGGACATGCTTTTAGTAGAGAAATCGAAACTGATACTAATACTCAACTATTTTATCAAATCCTGAAACATTTTCTGGGATGAGCTAAGACTGCAAGGGAGAGAGGAAAGATAATGAGAAGAGGGTTGCATAGATTTTCTTGATAGAATATTGGCAGAACTATCTGCATACAAGAGGAATCAGATGGATTTATATAAATTGGTAGGCTCTTTCTCTTTTTAGGACATGAGACCAATGCCTTTCCCTCCTCGTGGAATGCCTCCAAAGGTAATTATTAAATTATTATTTAAATTATCATTGTTAAATGATAATTTTCTATTGATAGGTATAGGCCTCTGTGATGAAAAAACATTGGAATTACCGTACGAATTTCAATTGAAATAATGTGTTCAGCGAAAAAGGCTGTATCTGAGAGGCATAATTATAATATTTTCTTTTACTTAGCTAGCTATACTTTGCATCCTTTTAAAAATAATCATTTTTTGTCGTAGGGTCCTCGTGGTGATTGGGGTCCTGGCCCCATGGGTCCTATGGGAATGGGCCCTGGACCAGGCATGGGACCACCACCTCACATGCATGGCCCTCGAGGACCCCCAATGGGACCAGGTCCGATGCCACCAATGGTAATGTACAATCTTTTGTCTTTTTTTCTCTGTTTTTTAAATTTTAATACGCTAAGAAATTACATAGCACTTATCAATTTTGAATTTAGAGTATTAACTTGAGTAAGCATTAAGTGTTAAGAGTTTCAAAAATTTTTATAGCAGAAATTTAGAAAAGGATATGTGAATATTTACAAAGCTAAAAAGAGCAGTAGGCTTCAAAAATGGTCTTCTTTGGTCCCAAAATACAGGGAAATAATCTTAATCCCATGTTCATCTTAGAAGCAATTTTTGTGAAATCATAACATGGTACTCTACGTTATATACGAAAATAAAGATAGCTGTGACTTACGTATAGCTGTGAAATACGGTAGTTTATGATCTAAGCATGATTGGATGATGAAACGATAACAACCATGTACAAAATTACATGAAATTACTTTCCATTGGAAAATTTATCTATAGTCAAAACAGCTTTGTTATTTTAAATTTCTATTGTTTATAATCTGTCTCAAATGAAAGCTAATATATGGGTAATACAAGAGTAACAAGACCAGATTGTGAAGTATAAATATCTACATGATCCTTCTATGGATATACTGGTTCTCTGATTTTCAAGACAGAAAGTCTCCAAATGTCATTCCTTTGCAAAGTTATTTATATTTGCAGTAACGACATATACACAACTTAGATGTAGTATCTTTGCATGAGCATTTTAGTTCATTAATTATAACTTAACACAATGTTCCATAGCAAATTAATAGTAGATTATAGAGTAGGAGAGTTTACTATTGAATTGGTTGTAGTTTCTCTTGCAGAGTTCTCATAGAGACAGATGCTTGCGGATTATTTTCTAACGTGATTCTTTTTCTTTTCATTGTTATCCTCACCATTATTATGGATGTGCATATTTACTCCTGGAAACTTCATTTGGAATCTGCATGAACATTGATTGCATTTTCATTCTCATGCTTTCGTGGGAACATTATAAAACATAAAGAGGCCTGGCCGATTTGACCCTGAAATGGATCGGAAACGTGAACGTGCTGATCGGGACAGGCTTGCTGCACGATCACCCCGTGATCACGACAAACGTCGTAAATACTGAACATTACTGAAGATGAAGTACGTTGTCAGAGAATGTTGATGCGGTGTTGCATATAGGTTGAAGGCTTCAAGATAACTATATCCGATTAAATACTGGATTATTCAATGCATAACTGTTCTATATACGCTTGTACTATAATTATGACGACTCAAGTCTGCTGGCAAACTCAACAAAACATAAGACATTAATATCACCTTTGTACATGTATTGATACAATATTTCGACTACAATGGAGTACGTACCATGTTCTATTATAGTGCTACCCTCAGTAAGGAGTATCTCAATGGATTTCACATTATTTTATGAGATAAATTAATGCATTAACATTTAAATGTAGGCTCTCGATTTTAAACTTTTATGATAATTTCCAGCACATTTATTAATTGTTGCACGAAGAAAATTGTGTAGAGTTTTAGTATTTAGTGTCAGACATGGCCAAGATGCCAAGAAAATAAAGCTTATAATTTTATTTTGCTATCAAACGGATTGAACTGGAGGGATAGTCTTCAAGAGTTAATTATTGAGGATTAAATAAATGTATTTTAGTTTGCATCATGGTATCCGTTGCAGTGTAGTAATTAGAAACTTGTATAAGCAATATACAGTATTCTCTTGTTACTTTATTATTATTTTGATTATCATGTAAGCATCTAGTGAATGAAGAATTTGAGTAGCAATTTTGTGAACTCTCTTTTTAATAGGGTCGCCACCCTTTGTGGATAACAAATGCACTCATTTATAAGTTTGCTCAGTGGAATTTTCTGCTGGTGATATTTTTATCAGCTTTAAACAACATTACTAGTCTGCACAGTCCTCTCTAATGAATGTATCTTAAATATTAGGTAATATAATAATATGTACGGCCCACTTGTTTGGGTATTTATGATGGTGAGCCATTGTAAAACCCATACAGATCTGATGCAAATTTAATTGCTTATTAAATGTCTAGGTGTATGTTTTAATGTTCCAATAAAATGTTTGAGATTGAAGTGAGTTTGACCAAGTAAAAAAATGAATGAAAATGAGATTAATTCTGTATCCGATATACTGTTCACTGATGTCTCTTGTTATCAATCACTGAGTTAATAACATGATACCCTTAAAGTGGTGCACTAATAGAGAGAAGGGGATACCAGCATAGAAGTTCTATCATCTTTAGTTAGAGTTTTCAATAGAGGCCGGCAACCAGCAGATTCCCCCCTCTACTCTTGCTAATTTGACTGCCTACTCAGCCACTTCCCAATGTAATTGTAAATTTTGATTAAAGTTCGTTAAAATAAATTTTAACCCAATCTTTGTTGCTACGAAAACTGCAATGCAATCAAAACTGTGATGATCATTGATCATCATCATCTTGAATTTTTGTGAGAAAAGTGAAACTGGTGACAAGTATGCCTCGATCACATGCTCCAGTGATTTCCGGTTTACCGCCTATTTTAATTTCATAACTGCCTACCAAAAATTTTATTGACAACCCTGTTTAGTAAATATCTAGTGCCAGGGAACAATATGCTACCAACTAATTCATATAAAAATTAAAATCTTACGTTATCATAATGGATATCACTGTTGATATAATGTTTGCCATTACATCGGATGTAGTGTTGCTAAAACATGAAAAGAAGCAAGTCTGTAACAAGCTAAATATATATTTACTACTGGGTATACTAACATGGCTATAGAGGTATGATATTGTTATCGTTATTTTGGAAAAAATAAGTACCAAAAATGCAATATCTTCCGTGAATAGTATTTAGGGTTAATGGGTAGTTATGTGTTAGCAGTAGTGTCTTAGCATTCTTTTAACTTTTGTAACTTGTCACTCTCTCCTTAACATGAATCTATTATATGTTGTTGTTTCCTCGTGAAAAGTTTTTCACAAGGTTCTCAAATCATTGGATATATTAGTTGGATATATGGCTGTAGTGTGTAATGAATATAGTTGTCTTTGTTTAGAAAGGGTGACATCAAAGTTGATCCTAAGCATTGATAAACTGGGAGGCTGTTAAGAGTGTAGAAAAGCATCTCAAGAGTGCCATCTAAATTTTCTACCATCCCATTCAACACACTTCACTTACAGAGCGATGCACAAAAGTATAACCACATTTAATGTATTGGCAAAACCATTGAAATGTGTCCATTTAACCTATAAAAGTCTGTGCACTAAAGTATGCAAATTAACAAATTGACATCAGATTTTTATGTGTCTGTCCTCTTATTGACAATAAATTTCGCCATCACATTGTCAAAGTAGTATGCGGATCCACTTGGCATAATTTTTCTTCTCATTTTTACTGATCAAAACAACTAACGGAAAGAGCGCAGGCTCGTTGACGTCAGCTTTACCTGCCTGTCCTCTTATTGATAATAAAGAAATAACCAATCAGTGTGCGAGAAATTTATAAGTTATTGTAAAATACATTATTGCCGGTCATACTTTTGAGTGTCACACTGTAATAAATATAATGTACTAGGAACAAGCACTAAGCCTCTGTGATGAAAAAACATTGGAATTACCGTACGAATTTCAATTGAAATAATGTGTTCAGCAAAAAAGGCTGTATCTGAGAGGCATAATATTTTTGTTTTTCTCTTCTTAGCTGGCTTATTTTGCTTGCAAATTTAACAAATCATTTTTCATTGTATCTTCTACCCCTCCACTTGCTTATAATACTTATGACTAAGTACTGTTTTGTTGTTTATTTAGAGTGTGGAGAGGCAGGGAGGGGAGAGCTCGTATGACTATAGCCCCCACATTTTGCTAACGTACATTAAAATGTCAAGATGCGGTCAAGATTCAGTCTGCCAGTTTTAGTTTCATACATACTAGTCTACTTTGATTGCCAATCTAAGCCCTCCTAACCCATCTCATTTTGAGTGCTCTATGGTTCATGTTATTGCCCTTACCATGTGGGAATAACAACCTTTGAACCCTGATAAAGAGCATCAGCATGTCGTCATGGTAACACATGGATGATAACAGCTTGTCCAATGAGATAAAATTCATTGGACATTCATAAAACTCCATGTTAGTTTTGGGTTGCACCGTGCTCTTGCAAGGAGACTTTAACTATATTTATTTCAATCCAGATTGGTATTGAAGTCTGAAATATATAAAATAAAACTTTGAACTCTGCTTGAGCAATGTCGGAGGCCATGAAGCAGTCTGAATGGGCATTGACAGTGAGCTGTGCATAGCCCATAGAGCAGAGAAAATTCTTTGAAGTGTAGCCCATAAGTCAAGGGTTAAAAAAGAATTGAAGAGTGATCGATGAAGAAAGTGTAACCAAAAAAGTTCATGTTAAAATTGCAATGCAAATGAGGAAGAATATCTGGAATTTTCAGTCTTTTGATGGTTGTTATGTATCTTGTGTTTTTTCTTGTAAAATGGTCTATAATATGATAATATATACTTTCTCATTTATATCTGATTCTGGCATACGTAGTGAACATGTTAATGCAGGCATCCCAGCTTTTTTAGTGCACTTTGTTAAAGGAAACAGAAGAAAAATGAAAAAAATAATGGAAAGAAATTGTGAGAATGCGGATAATCACCATAATTGTAGTATTTTTCCATATTGTAGATTATGTAAGACCATAGAAGATGGATAGATAGTCTTAAAGATTCGTTAATATTTATATGGTCAAAAAAAAAAAGAAAGAATACTCCCAAATACAAAGGCATAATCTAAGTTCAGTATATATTTTATTGCACCCTTTTCAAGTTAGTAAACTCCTATCTCATATCCTTCATACACCAATGCAGCTCAAAAAAACTTACCGATAACATGCTAGTTTTCTTTAATCCTTAACAAGCTTTTAACTTTGGAATAAGTTTTCCAAGATACTCTATTATTCCTTATACCTTTCCTTAAAATATAGCTGGGATGCCACAGCAATAAATAATGCATAAATATATAATTTATAAAAATAATAGCTTACGACGAGAAGTAGATATCAAATCAAGTAAAATAGACGACTAAAGAAGTTCTAAAGATCTTCTCCAGCATTACTGATTACCATAGGTTCTCTTCTGATCGTTGAAGGACTAGCGATGTCTTTACGTATGAGTAAGTATGTATCATAACTTGTATATACCTAGTAAATAGTTTCTAAACAACCAATGAATAGGTGTGCATAAAAATTAATGTCATATATACCTCGTTGTACAATAACGTTTTGTGGCATAAAAAGGGTGTTCAGGTAAAGCAAATAGTGATGGTTGATGTAAGCTTCGCTGGACACTTCTTAAGCACGCTTTTTCAACTCGACCCCTACTATGCGATAAGTCCAAGAAAACATTTAAGAAAGTTATTATATCCTGTTACCATGGAAAACAGAAGTGTGAATCGTTGAGAATCCATAATTTTACAATTTTTCTCAATTCTTTCAAAAAAAAAAAAAAAAAATTATGTGCTTGGAGCTTATCACAAGAGCAATTTTTAGTCTATTTAGGGATTATCGTTTATTGGAATTTGAAATTATCTCTTTCCTCTAAGGGGCCCTGAATCAAGAGTAGATAATTGGGGAAGGTCTTAAATTTCTTTAAAGGTCCAGGGGAGTACCCTTGGTTTCAGGGTCTCTTTCACTCCAGTGCTTCACGTTTAATAATGAAACTAGGTGCCTTAGGGATGCTGTCGAATATGCAGAGATTAATATAAAATGGTTTTACCATTAATTAGGATTCAAGTAGATGTGGCAGAGTTTATTCATAAATTTGGTTTTCTCAGCAAAATCTTTATGCAAAGAATTTTTAATTATATAACCCTTATATTTGTTGGCATATTGACACAATTCTGTATTCACATAGCATGAATTTAAAAGTTCTGAGTTTAGGGTATTTTGATTATTTGAAGTGGTTTGTTCAATTTTTCTCTTTGATGTAGGTCTTGTCAGCTATTTCTGCTGTTGATGAGTACTAAAGTAGTGTTGTATTTGACAATATTTCAGGGTATTTGGTGAGAGATTTGTGCACATCAAATAAGGTAAGCATACCTGTCAATAACTAGCCAATCAGTCTTGTATCTGACCAAACATGTTGAAGTCAATAGCTTTTCTTTTAGCTAGGGTGTATCGTTTCTCATTTCCAGCCATGCTTAATTCCCTTGAGTATCATTTCTTTTATTAATGCTTGTACATGAGAACTCCAACAAAAAATCTTATTCTCAAGGAAATGATATATGGTATGAAGTGGAAAAACATTAGCCTAGAAAAGTGTATTTCCCCCATTCTGTGGGCCGTCAACACCCTTGTATAGTGGATGTAGTGATGATGATAATGCAACGAGTGTGTTGTGTGTAGCAGAGCCAGAAATGGACTGAACCCACTGTTACACCTTCACACACAAGAAGAAAAATGCAGGTTTCTGCTGTCTGAACATCCATGTGTTCGTGCCCCCTACCCTCTCCTCCCATCACAGTGCTTGATCCAGAGGTTTTTAACTCATTATTATGCATTGCATAAAAAAGACTTGTGTGAGTCCTTTGAATTAGAGCCTAAAACCTGACAAGCTAAATTCCAATTTGGTCTGTGAGTTAGCAGTGCTCTGACTTAGATCAGCCCGGAGGTTGTTTCAGAGTTCTATCTGTGAGTTAGCTGTGCCCTGACTTAGATCAGCCTAGAGGTTGTTTCATTGTTCAAATTTGAAGGTTCATTTTACTTTGTTTCATTGACAGGATGTTTTGTCCAGCCATGTGACAGGGCACCATCAATGTGCCAGTAATGTTCTGTACTTGAACCAAAGTACCAACAACAAAGGTGATAATATTTTCCTCGCTATAAAAAACTTGCCCAAGTTCCAATTGGATTTGTCATTAAAAACGTAAGCATGAGTCTTGTGGCTCAGGCTAAGGAATCTCTCTGCCTTTTGCAAAAAAATAATGTTTCGAGATTTAGTTAGGATAATGATAACAAAACCTTTGTAAAAATATCTGTCTGTGTGAATGACATTATGCAGATATATTTTCAATCTAGTTTTTGTTTCTAGGTTTTAGATCATTAAACCTGTCATTACCAAGGCTTTCCCCAGTCGGTAGGCAGTATTTTGCACAACAACACACTCCTGCGGAAGAAGAAAAGCTAAGCAGTAGAGTACCCACACTGTTAAATTGGTTTCAAGTCTAATGTTGTCAGACAATGCTATGCAGTACTCCAGTATGCAGTGTTCTATAAAGTGGAGAACACCTACTGAAACTAAAGCCTAAAACAATAGTGTGCCCACAATGCCATATTACAGTCTATTAAGAACAGGAACATTGGTTTCAAGCTACCTCTACACTTCAAATGATACAGTGATGTTTATAGTAAGTTTTCTTTAAACAAGCAGTTCCCCATATTTTAAAAATAATTTTCTATCCTGATTACTCCTGTTTTAGTTTATTCTGTTCTTCATTTAGGACCTTGAAAAAGGGGTAGGCGGCATTAATCACTTAGGTTGAAACACAATTTTATCCTTGATACAACTGTGCAAAAATTTAAAAGCTATTCAACCAGTTTACAATAGGATATAAAATCGAGGCCAATTAATCATACCAGTTAAGTTCAATTATCCAAAGGGGGACAATTTTTGCCCCTGCACTTGATAAATCTACCACTGTTGTGTTTTCACCGACCAAATGGACAGTTGTTATACAGCAACAGTGTGTGTGTATTCCATGAATTCAGAGAATATAAGCTTTCGTTTCTTCCTCGAAAACTCATCTATTCAGTGCTTGAATGGATGGCTGGATGGCAAAAATCTATCATGCATGAGAAAGGTCATTGTTCTTGACTGTGCTTACCATATTATTCCAGTAACTTTTTCTATCTTTATTTACAGGATCCAAAAGCTGAATATCTTATTTAAGTTTGCCCAAAGAATTAATGTTGCCGAGTACTGATAATATATCAGATTTAGATAGCTCCCAATTCTTTTTTTTTTCTTCCATTTTCTCATTATTTTATTTTTTAACCCTTTAAAACTGAATCATATTTCACTTATTTTTCCTTTTTTCCTTGCTTGGATCCCAGTTCAGTATTCTGCCTCAGTTAATATCTATCTATTATCATTATGTATCATATTTCCACCACAATTGATGGGATATTCCCAAATATTATTGCAATTAATGCACCTACTCAAAAACCTACCAAATTTATTTTTGTTGATGGCAATGATTATAGTATTGTAGCATGCTACTACTGCTGTATCATTATTATTTATTTTATTTTATCTCCAAATATAACTAAAAATAAATAAATGTTAATAAATCAAATGAACCTTAAAATGATGGGCTGTTTTACCAGTTAGCAAGGTCATAAGTAATAAACACACTACTACTAAACATTCACTGACTTGGGTTTTACTTGACCCATAAAATAGTTAGTAGATGGAGAGGTTAGAGTACAAACACTAAATGTGTGCAATAGTTATCACTATTTAGCAGTAAATAAGCACCAATTAAACATAAGAAAACAATATAATTAGCATATAACAACACTATTTAGTGATATTTATGTTGCACACTTTTAGTGTTTGTATGCTAGTAGATCTAATTAGTCTATGCTTGCAAGAGCTTTGAATGTCTTTCTTGTCACTTCATGTGATTTCCACATTACTCTCCCCCACCCCTCCCCCTCCAAAAAAATAACCAAACAAAAACAAACTAAAAAAACTAAACAAAAATTTCAGTCATGATATAATCTTTACCGTTCAGAATTGATTGAATTCTCAACTAAAGGAAACAAAAATGAGCAAATGAATGAATTGAATAAACGAAAAGGAAAAAAGATGGCCAAACTCTTCCCATTTTAGGTAGTTACTCGGGCTACCTGCAAGGTAGACCGAGTCTAGGTTTCGGTTTTCTATCCATCTATCTATCTATCGACGTTGTCGAAAGTGTGTAAGCCTGCGATGCTCGGCGGTCTGCGGTGTTCCCCTGCAAGTATGAAAACGAGGCGGGTTACCACAAGTCATTTTTTCGAAGGTTCTGTAGGTCTTTTTCCTTTGCTTATCTTGCTAGCTGCTTCTCGTGCTTTATCTTGAAAACTTATTGGAAAGTAATGGCGACTTGCTGTTCTGCTGAGGCGCTC